CCGCTCCTCTCTCTGCAGAATGTCTAGTTTGAAGATTCAGTTTTACTTCCACTGTATTTCACTTTCCTAAAGGCTGGTCCAAGTAACTCTGGGCACTCACATAACTCATTTGCAATCTGGTTACACTTCGAAATAAGGCTGTAGTTCATTTCATCAGTTATTACACTGTCTTGCTTGTAGTCAGGATGGTTTGCGATAAACTCCCTCATCCATCTGGCAACTGTCATTAGTTCTCCTGAGGGGGAAAAATAGTTTACATGCTATAGTTTGAATATGTCTCCAGACAACTGGTGTGTTGAGCCCATTGTAATGGAATCAAAAGGGCGAAAAGGGGATCCAGTTACTGCGTTGAAGGATGAAGCCTTAGGAAGATTACCTAGAGTGGTCAGGACAGGGCCCCATGATTGTCTCTGATGGGTTTATAAGGAAAAGGAATGAGTGAAAGAAACAGAACACCGACTAGCTGCTTCTGTCCCCCACCATGCTGTGACACAGCCAGATCTCCACTAGAGGGTTACTGTGGACCTTGGACCTCCAAACTGTGAGCTAAATATATTTATTTATTTGGGCTGGCAGGTAGCATGGTAGATAAGGTGGCTAGACTCCCATGTAGCTGACCGCTGTTCGAGTCCCGGACCAGGCAGCTTGCTTTCCCACTTTCCTTCTTTCTCTGTCTCACACTGGTCAACTTCGAAAAAATAAAATAAAAAATAATGACAATGAATAAAATTAAATTTAAAAAATTATTTAACTTTATTTATTTTTATTCATTTATTTTAATTTGACCAAAGAGGGACACAGTGCGAGAGTAAGAGTGAGAGTAGGCGAGAGAGAAAAAGGAGGGGAGTAAGAAAGCAAGTCGCCAAGTCTGGGACATGAACCGCAGTCAGATATGTGGGAGTCCAGCACCCTTAAGAGAGAGAATTTATAGAAGTCTCAAATGAAATACAGATGCCACTAACATTATTACTGTTTCTTATATCAACAGCTGATGGTGCCCTTACACTGGTTACTGTGTGAGACACAGTAAATGTGATCTCAAAGATAAAGTAAGGAGTTCTCAGGATGCTCCCTGAAGGGAGGCAGGTGTCCTGGCTGTGCAGCTGATTTAACTTAGAGGGACTCACTGCTGTGAAAGAGCCCCCATGACATACAATGAACACGAGAGATGTAAATGAGCCACTGGCAATCCTGATACTGTTTTATCATACACGATGTGAGTGATTTTAAAATGTAACACTATTTTATGAACCAGCAAGAAAAATAAGTACTGCTAATTTAAACTGTCAAAGACTATAAAGTGTATTTAATTGCAGAACATGTTAAAATCTGAAGAAGTGTGCACAGATAAAATATGGCATACAGTAAAAGAAGCTGAACATTATAAGATTATGTGGTTCTGCCTACATTATGGGATTAAGAAAAAGAAAAGGCTACTATACCAGATGCTCTCTTCTTAATTAGCTTTAGGTAGTTCAGAATACTACATCTGGTGTCCACATCCACTTCCATGTTTTCAAGGTAAGAGTTCAGAATCGGGATCAGTCCAGGAAACACGCCTTCCTGTAAGAAGCAGGACAGCTGTCAGGTCCCTGCCTGCTGGCGCGCCCAGAGGAGAGCACTGTGTGGGGCCCTACCTTCCCATTGATGATGGTGTCTATGCTCATGAGGGTGTACTCCTCGACAGTCTGCTCCGAGCTGTTCTGGGCCTTGCTGCACCCATCCACCACGGCGTTGCCACCTGCCAAGGGAGAGGGCGGAGCAGCTTCAGCAGCTTGTTAGAGGATAAATGGACCCTAGAGATCCAAGAGAATGTAATACCTTTGCAAATATCTTTCCTGAAATAAAACATTCCCTGTAAGACAGCATCTCGCTTCTGTGCTTCTTTCATGTTTTCATCAACCTGAGAGAGAAAAAAAAATCATAACTAAGTCAAAAAATTCTTCAAACACAGAAGTTGTAATGCATTCTTTGTTTCTGCAATTAAGACTCACTACCCTAAGAATTCTGCTTTCTTCTCCAATGCTTTCTAGTTGGAAGAATAGACTTTTTATCTACGTCAGGCCCATATGTACTCAAGCACAGATTGGCAAGTGCTTTTTAATATCAACAGAAAATTTTTTTTTTAAGAGAGATTTTTGCTTTAGAGCATTTGTGCTTGCTGGAGAGAGAGAGAAACAGAAAGCGAGAAATTCCTCCCAACGGGGGGGTGGGGGGTGGCCACACTACAATCGCTTCTCCTCCATATTATTCTCAAGATTTGGGGCATACATGCACATGTGCCTGGCATGAATTTTAAGACTCCAGGTCTGGGACTTGAACTGTGGTTGACCATGTGGGAGTCCAGCGATAACCATTATGCCATCTGCTGGTCTCCAGATGAGGATTTTAAAGATGCTTATAGAAAAGAAAAACTTGTATTTGTATGGGGCATCTGTAGTTTAAAGCACCTGTCACTGAACTGCACTGTGGGGGGAGAGAAGGGACTGGTCCCCTCTATACAGCATGGTGGCTCATCACAGGTCCCAGGGGAACAGGCAGGGAAACTGAGCACCAGTGCTCCAGGCTAAGTTCAGTGGCCTTCCCTTTCTGTCACTGGGGTTTTGCCATCTCACTTTAGTCCAGAAAGAGAAAGAGAGCCAGCAGGTGTCAGATCTGGAATAAACTTTAGCCCTCCAAGGGCAGATCCCACTGCTGTTTGCCCACCGGGTAGCTCTATCTGTGTGGACTGACTAATGACTCCAAAATCCCGATTTGACTGTGAGCTCTCTATTTTGCCAGTGATTTTTTTTTTTTTAGAGAAATTTTTGCTATAGGTTATGTATGCTCACTGGAGAGACAAAACAGACAGAAAGCAAGAAATCACCCCTGGGGGAATGGCCATGCTGCAATCCCTTCTCCTCTATTCTCCTCTCAGGATTTTGGGCATGCATGTACATGCACCCAGTATGAGTTTCAAGCCTTTGGGTCCAGGACTCGAATCGTAGTTGGCCATGTGAGAGTTCAGTGACGTAACTGTTATACCATTCACTGGTCCCTTGCCAATGACTTTTTAAATTCTTAAAGAAATTTAAAAACTTCTAGGTAGTCCCTTATTTTCTATAAAAACTCTCATGTAGAAATTCAACATAGGCACAAGTTACAGAGGCAGGTTGACATGGGATGCGTGATCCAAAGTCTTTCTTAATTACTTAGCCATCCCCTCATTTTATTATGAGGTTAATTCTATTATTTAATTATTTATTTTTAATTTGCCAGAGAGCACATGCGCTGACAAGAGACAGATAGGGAGAAAGGAGAAAAGCACGCCCAGTAGGACATGGCCATACCACAATCCCTTCTCTTCCATTTCTTTATCCTATCGGGATTTGGGGAATGCAGGTTTTTCCAAGTCACCAGGGGCAGGATTCAAACTGTACGGGACCCTGGGTGGGATTCGAACCACACAGTCAGCCATGTGGGATCTGGGTCTCCTAATCACTAGGCCACAAGGCTGGCCCATACTTTGCTTTCTTTAAAGACACATTTTGCTTTCTTTCTGGCACAACACAACTGTCCTCTCATGGGAAAGGCCATGTGGCTGCATCGGAGGACCTCCCTGACCATACGGACTGTGCCCGTGACCCAGGCTGGCTGAGGCTGGGACTGGACTGAGGAATGAAGACCCTGCTGGGACGTCTATCTCTCTGTCTCTCATGGAAGGAAAAAATAAAAGATATATAGGCCCTTCTGAACAATCTGCACACTTCTAGGAAGACATTCGAATAATAGATTACAATTTCCACCATGATCGTAAGCATGTTTTTCATTTCTAATATGTTTGTTTGTTTTTTTTTTGGAGAGGTTTTTGCTATAGGGCGTGTGAGCTCGCCAGACAGAGAGACAGAAAGCGAGAAATCACCCCCCAGGCAGGATGGTCATGCCGCAATCCCCTCTCCTCCATTCTCCTCTTGGGATCCTGGGCATGCACACATGCACATGTGCCCGGCATGAGTCTAAGCCACCGGGTCCGGGACGCGAACTGCAGTCGACTACGTGGGAGTCCAGCGACATAGTCATTACGCTAACTGCTGGTCCCATTTTCTTTCTTAGTCTTGACAAAAGTTTACAAAGACCACTAGTTTTACTTCAATTTCTGCTTTTGTGATCTGTTTTTCAAAGTATATTTTATCATTGCTCTTAGATTCCAGAATGCTTAGAATCGTTTATGTTCAATTTTTTTTGATAAAATGTTAGTTCATAGTACTTAGTACTTCCTTATTTCATTGATGTGATCCTCCAGGGTTTGTTTCTTTGTTTTTTGTTTTTTTTTTAATTTTTTTGCTATAGGACATGCATGCTTGCCAGAGAGACAGAGACAGAAAGTGAGAAATCACCCCCCGGGGGGATGGTCATGCCACAATCCCTTTTCCTCCATTCTCCTCTCGAGATTTTGGGTATGCATGCATACGCGCCCAGTGAGTTTAAGCTGCCTGGTCCAGGACTCAAACTGTGGTCAACTATATGGGAGTCCAGTAATGTAACCATTATGCCATCTGCTGGTCCCCAGAACTTATTATTATTTAATAATTTTTTCTAGTTTCTTGAGTTAGCTATTTCATTGAGGATAGTATATTCTTTCATAGACCCATCTAGGGCTTTCTCTTTAAGGCAGCTAATTAGTCTTTGATTTTCTGTTGACTCTCAGACATTTATTCATATCTATAAACAAAGGCTACGAACGGTAGCTGCCATGGAGTCTCCTTAGCTAGATTTGTAACCCTCAGCAGGTGTGCTCATGAGGGCATTGTGGCCGTGGAACTCCATGGGTCCCTTTTGACCTGGGTGTATGAGGCAGGCAGAGCCAGGCTGACAGCCAGCCTCCCGTAAAGGTACCTGTGAGGGAGCCCAGGCTGGCAGCCTCTCCTGGGGGAGAGCAGGGAAGGAGGGAGGGAGCTGCCTTGGGGACAGATGCTGGGACAAGCAATTTTATTCTTTCGTCATGTCTGTTGTGACAGGGCTGTCCTATTCCTTTCTCTGGCTCTCAAACTCTCAGCAGGAGCCCCCTCTCTGCTTAACAGTCTCTGCCAGACCCTCTTCCTGTGCCAAGAGGACCACTGCCCAGGAACCAAGGATTCTTCTTCCTTAGCTATTGCCCTGTAGCCCACAGCTTTGCTGTCTCCTAGCACGGGGCTGATTCCAAGGCTCTGGGAGGGACTCTTTCCAGAAAGCTCCTTTTTTGTTGGGCTGGGCTGATTAATGCTGATCTGATTTTCTTGTTTTTCCCCAAGTGTATTTATTCATGTCTTCCATGAGTCAGAGACAGAAAGAGAGCCAGAACCTGGGCTCCCAACAGGGTCTCAAGGCCATGGTGCACCCCCAGCCCCAGTCAGCTCTGGATCACGGGCACATGTGTGCTTGGCATACTCAGGTAGGTCTTGGGACGTGAACCTGGAATCCTCCCCTGTGGGTCAGCCTTGCTGAGCACTGTGTTTTATTGCTGTGTCACTGTCTGGCTCCTTCATTTGTTTTCTATATCCTCCAGAAACATTACAAGTTGGTTCTTTTGAGACCTCTCTCTGAATTACACCAGGTACACTTCCCTACCTGTTCTACTTTTAACACTGTAATCAAATGGAGTTTTTGATAATTGAAATCCATTTGTGGGACTCCCTCCAGTAACAGTTATCTTGAATGAAAAGCCTCTCAAAATGAAGACTAGGCTTAAAAGGAAAAAACAGAGGACCAAGAACCAGCAGTTAGCATGAACTCCCATGTAGTCGACCGTGGTTCGAGTCCAGGACCCGGTGGCTTAAACTCACGCCAGGCCTGTGTGTGTGCGTGCCTAAGATCCTGAGAGGAGAATGGAGGAGAAGGGACTGTGGCGTGGCATCCCCCCGGGGGGTGATTTCTCGCTTTCTGTCTCTCTCTGTCTTTCTGG